CACCACCGGCCCAGGGTGCGAGAGCTGCCGCCCATCCCACCGCGACCGGCCCTGGCGGCCCGCCACCCCCTGGCACCCTCACCCTTGCCTGCGTGAGTCCTGGGTCCCCCATCCTCGCTCACCTACCACCTGACCCCATGACCCCAGCAGCTGGTCCCTTGTCCCTGAGGGGCAGGAAGCTCTGTCCTTCCCTACGGCTGCTCCTTCCTTGCTTCTCGCCATGTTCCTCTCCAGACAGGGCCCCTCATCTCCTCCCCTCACTATCCCCCACCACCTATCTGCCCCGAATCTCTGCCATCCCCAGATTCCCAGCTACTTAAACACTCACTAGGGCCTCCAACCTCTCCCCACACTCAGTCATGAGGATGGGTAACATTTCCTGAGCGCTCAGCCCAGGGCCTGGCTTGGGGCACACACTTGGACACTCAGATGGGATTTATGGACTGGCTGGAGGGGAACAGCGCAGCCGCACTCATCGGGACGTCTGGACTCATCAAATCAACCACGTGGGGAAAGTATTCATTAGACGTGTATTTAACCAGCATCTACCGTGTGACTGGCAGGTACTACACAGGCCCATTTTACAGACGAGGAGACCGAGGCTAGAGGTGGAAAGTACCTTGGGCAAGGACAAATGGCCAGTCACTGGCAAGGCTGGAAACTGAGATTGAGAGGCCAAGCCCAAGGGTCTTAGCTGGTCCCTGCCAGGCTCTGTCAAGTGCTGTCACACTAGACGTTCTACAGGCAGACAGGAGCGTGGCCTCAGCAGCCAACCGGCTCAAATCCCGGCTCTTCCGCCTCCTGGCTGTGTGACCCCAGGCAAGTGACCTAGTCTCTCTGTGCCTCCATTTCCTCACCTGGAAAATGAGGATAGCAACAGCATTTCCTTTACAGGCTATAGTGAAAATTCAATAACTTAACATCCATAAAGTCCTTGGAATAAAGCTGAATACAGTACCTGGCACACAGAAAGAGCCTCCTGAGTCCACCAGGGTTACCACTCTCCAGACGAGGGGGGTAAGGCCCAAGGGGATGGGTCTCTTGGTCCAGGTCTCATGGCCAGCAAGGGTCAGACAGGACTGGACTCGAAAACAGCCTTCCTAGATGCTGGGCCAACACCGCGCTCTCCAGCTGGACCAGCGCACCCCAGGGCTGCCCAACACCCTCCCTCTCCACGCTGTTTCCAGACTGGCCTCCAGAGTCCAGGCCCTTCCCCATCCCTCCAGCAGCTCCCCTCAGAGACAGGCCTCCTCCACTCCCACCTCCAGCCTGCAGCCCTTGCTGGAGGCTCTAAGTGTGTTACTAATCCTGGGAGGTACCTCCAGTCCAACAGGTACATGTACACACACACACACACACACACCCTCTTTCTGTCTATATTTCCATGGATCTCACTCTCTCCATCTCCCACATTCTTTGCCCCTCCCCTCTATTTCTTCCTGCAATGTCAAGTGGACTGACAGACTGAACTACTGGCACAGCTCCCCACTCTGTCCGCATCACCGCTGGGGTCTTCTCTGACCCTCTGTCTCCACCACCTCAGGACTCTGTCCAGTTGGCCCATTCCCACCAGTTAGGTCTGAGGCCCCAACAGAGGAGTGAGGGAGGGCAGACTCACGTGGCCTGAGGGTGGGGCTGGCTTCATCCTGGGCCTGGACAGGGCTTGGGAATTGGGGAGGCAGTCTCTCAGAGGATCACCACACCCCCCTGGCTGAGCTGGGCACTGCCCTCTGAGCCTGGGTAAGAGACCATAGGGTTGTGACGGAGAAGGGTCTGGGCGGACACGGTGAGAATAACTCCTGTGGTGGAGCTACGGGCTTTACAGACACGGTGGCCTGAATATCTCCCCATCCAAGTTCTCTAGAGAGAAGCGAGGTGAAGTGATCACTGTCCGGTCAGAAAGAATCCAAAGCCCAACAGCACCCTCTCATAATCTGAAGAACACTGCCATCTCTGATGCCTACAAAACCCTGGAGAGCAGAATTGAGATCCCTACTAAATGGGAGGAAATCGAGGCTCAGAGAGGGGGACGCATTTTTGCAAGAACACACAGCTGTCTCAGCTCCCTGACCTGACCACTACTCCTTGGGGTCCTCAGGACCTCCCTGTCCCGACCTCTCAAATTTCCTTAAGTCAAAACCTCTTACATCTCTCCAAAGAATGGCCCATGAGCCCCCTCTGGTAGCATCTCACTCTGGGATTCCTGCTAGAAGTACAGGCCCCTGGGCCCACAGAAGCCCTGGAATCTGAGTTGTTCTTTTTAAACATTTCCTCAGTAATTCAGGTAAGTGGCAAGGTCTGAGAGCCACTACCTTAGAAAATCTGATCATTGCTCTCCAGGAAAACGTACATGCTCATGTCCTCATGTGAGCTGTGTGAGAGGCATTGGAGTGTGGCTGCTAGGAGCACAGACTCTGGAGCCAGAAGGCCTGGGTTCCAATCCTGCCTCTGACCTCCCCTCAGCTGCAATACCATGGGCAGGCACGGCACCTCTCTGCCTCAGTGTTCGCGTCTGTAAAATGGGGGTGATGATGACAGCACCAGTCTAACAAAGCTGCTGTGAGAAGGAAACATGCCAAGCACTTAAAACATGGCACCTGGTATGTGGTCACTCTAAACAGGCCAGCACATGCTCTGTGTCAAGCCTCGGCCTTGAGTTAAGCACTTTATAGCTAATGGGTTTCATTTAAATCTCATCAGGTAAACACTATAAATGTCATCTGGCAGCAGAGGAAACTGAGCTACAGAAAGGAGAAATCACTTGCCCAGGGAACACAGGGAGACACGTACACATGGGGGCCTGACTCACAGCCCCCGCCCGGAGCCGCCACCCTTCTTTACGCCCACCTCCGGGCTCACACAGACATCCAGCAGCCCTCTAGGGCCTACCCAGCTCCAGTCCACTGCACGGGTTGAAAGAGGAGAAGGAAGAGGTTGTAGGGCCCACACTTACCCAGACCCCCAGGCAGTCTCCTTCCTGAGGGCAGCGGGGAGAAAGGTGGGGAAGGGAAACACAGGGCCAGGCCTGACATGCCCCGACTCCACCCTGCCCCTAGCCTGCTCCTGCAACCAGCACGCCCGCCGCTGCAGGTTCAACTCTGAGCTGTTCAGGCTGTCGGGTGGCCGCAGTGGGGGTGTCTGCGAGCGGTGCCGCCACCACACAGCTGGGCGGCACTGCCACTACTGCCAGCCAGGGTTCTGGAGGGACCCCAGCCAGCCCATCACCAGCCGCAGGGCCTGCAGGGGTGAGTGAAGAGAGGGAGGGGAGGCAGAACTTGACTCCTGGGTCTGAGGGTAGAGGGGGTTGGGGGCCTGGCTCCCGGGTCTGAGGGAGGAGGGGACAAGGAATTCCAGTCTCCTCAGTCTTGGGGAGAAGAGGCTGGGAGCCTGGACTCCACATCCCTGGATCCCCCCCTCATGTAGCCTGCCAGTGCCATCCTATTGGGGCGACAGGTGGTACCTGCAACCAGACCAGTGGGCAGTGTTCCTGCAAGTTAGGGGTCACTGGCCTGACATGCAACCGCTGTGGTCCTGGCTTCCAGCAGAGCCGCTCCCCCAGGATGCCGTGCCAGCGTGAGTCCTGAGGGACAGGGCCGCACGTCCCAGGTGGGGCGGGAGGGAGACGTCCCAGATTTCCAGTGGGCAGCTGGGGTGAGGGTCCCTGGGAGATGGAAGCTAGAGGCTGGAGGCCGAACTCTGAGTCCTTTGACATGTGGAGACTGAAATTCCAGTCTCCTCAGTCTGGGGGAGGAAGAGGCTGGGGCTGGACTCCTGGGTTTCAGGGAAGAGGGGTTAAGGGACTGGAATCCTGAGTCTAAAGAATGAGAGAACTAGGGGTTTGGACTTCTGGGTCTTAAGGAAGAAGGAGTGAGGGACCAGAACTCCAGGGAGGAGGACAAAGTGGGCTTACACTCTTGGGCACCCAGGGAATACACATTTGGGTTCTGGATGCCTGTACTCCTCACAGGAGGAGGTGGGTACTGAAAAGCTAAATTTCTTCTCTGCTCTCTCCAGGAATTCCCGAGGCACCCACCACCTTGCTACAACCCTTGATGCTTACAGCTCTGGTAAGACAAGCTGGTGTGAAATTCCCTGGCAGCAAGAGGGATTCGGGAGGAGCTGATGGGGCCCCCAGGTAGAGATACAGGGGTGGCCCACTGAGCCCATCCCAAGGGTTCGGACACCCAGCTGTCCATCAGGATGGAATGCGGGATGGGCAGGGGGCAGAATGCTGTAGTCTAGGCCTCAGAAGCCCACTGCAGACAGCCTGACCCTCCCCAGACCCTCAGTGCCAAAACAACTGGAATATCTCCGGGACCAGGTTACACAGGAGACTTCGGAGGTACTGGCCGCAAGAGTGAGTGCTGGTGAGAAAAAGGGCTAGCAGCTGCAAAGGTGTTCAGCTCTGCCTCCAGGCCAGAGTCCCCTTCAGTTTTCTCATCTTAAATGGAAAGGGATGTTGGAATTGAAAGGGCCTTTCCCAATCTAGATTCTAATGGGAGAGCAAACAAATGGGGCGGGGCTGATCCTTACCTTCTTATGTCTTCTTTTTCGCCATGTTTTTGGCCTTGTAGAGTTTCATGATGTCCTTCAGCCTGACATCTGAGGGTCTGAGGTTGCTTGCGCCCAAGACCCGCCACCCACTACCTGCTGATGGGCAGCGCGGCCCTGGCCGACCAGTCTTCGACCGCTAGGGCCTTGCGCTGTCCTGGAGGCCCTGCTTTTCCCTGAGGCGGCTGCAGCAGGAGGAGCGCGCAGGCAGCTGCTCCAGCTTGCGGCCTTAGACTCTGACCTCTGAACCCGGGCTCTAGAGCCGAAGCCTGGAGGCCTCGAATACCAAGGAAGGAACTGAAAGCAACCCGAAGCTTAGGTTTTACCTCCACGTCGCGTCCTTCAGCGAGCCAATCAGACACCGCGGAGCCCATGACGTCACTGGCATGCGCCGGCACCCAGCAGGCACGCGTGATGCTGAACTGAAGGCTGCAAACTGCAAGGACTCTTGGTCTCAGGCTAGGACCCTCGATCTGTGACCTACGCAGCAAGTCCCCTCAATAAAGTCTCACATCTTAGGGAATCTCTGCTGTAGATCCCTGATCCGTGCTGAGAGGATCTGTGGGGGTAAATGAAGAAGGCTTTGAGGAAATCTGAGGAGCCGAGATATGGCTACAGCTCTCTGACCAAATGGCCAATCCAATGAAAGAGCTGTGAGATGTCACTGGGTGCTAGTCAGATTTGTACTGCTTCATGATTGGCCAAAGCCAGTGGGAGGGGAGGGTGACTAGAAAAGGCGGGAAATACACGTGAAGAAAATTCGGCAGTGTCAGATTTCCAGGAAATTCCAGACTGAGTTCTGGTTTCTGATGAGCCCCAGCATGGTCTCTGAGACAAAAATAATGGATCTTTGGGTGAATATCTGAAGAGGATTCTGACAGATTTTGAAGCACAGCCTAAACCGTTTCATGAGTGAATAGCCAGTTGGGAGCCACAGAGTGTTATGACGTGACTTGATGCTAAACAGAAATCTGTTCCCACCCAACAGGCCAGAGCCAACAGGCAGGAAGCAGTAAGTATGATGGAATGGAAGGCCACCATGGCCTATGATCTTCCTTGTCTCCTTGACCTCTGTCCTCACAATTAACCACAAAATTTCAAATTTGTGTGACCTTTGTGGGAGAGTCCCTGAACAAGCAGTTTGATGGAATCTCAGATGAAAGGATATGATTTAAGGTTTACTGGGGCCTAGAGAGCAACGTGTTCTTCCCCTAAGAGAAAAGCAGGCCTCTTAGCCAATGGGGAGTCAGGATGGGCCATGATGTCACAGGGTATTAGGCAGAGAACAAGCCCTCCCACCAATATTCTGGATGTGCTCCTGAGGAGACTGAAAAATGACGGAAATAGCCTTTAGGAAGTGACTGTTTGATCCTCCGACCTGCCAACACTATGCTATGTATAAGGAAGCTTGCCTTTGGCCTCCAACTGAGTGGCCTGGGTTGGGCCATCTCGGAAGCAGGAGGTAGGAGTCTTTAAAGGCTTTTCTAAGAAGAATTCTAGTTTTATAATCTGGCTTTTCCATCCTTTCTTGGAAACAAATCAATCAGGCATTCACCCCACTACTTCACCCTCATACCTATTTGTCAACTTTAATAATAAAATGGTCAGTTATTTTACCAGCAAAGGTGAGTTTATTAGGGAATAGCAGAAGAATTGCAATTGAGGATACGCAAAGATAGGTGACCACACGCAAATACAGAGAACAAGGCAGGGGAACTTGCTTTTAGAGGGAAAAGAAGAGAGTTGGATGGACCTGTAATAACCAAAGAGGCCACTGGAGGAAACTGGGAGTCCAAAGTATGGAGGCTTCTCATTGATTGGGATGCTAAAGTCTCCAATTGGCTGAGCTACAATGGGCAGACGTTTTTCTTCCTCTGCTAGACAGTAACCTAGAGGCACCTTCCTGTCCCAGATGTAGGTTAATCTCCCTCCAGTTAATTGAGAATGCCTGGTAGGGCCTGAGAGCTCCCACTACAGGCCTGTTCCACCTCCAACTCTACCTGCAGTTTCTTTAGTTACATTAAATATGTTCAAAATTCAACCATGTCGACCATTTCCACTGCTACCACTTTGGTCCAAGCCTACACCACTCTATGCCCAATTTACAGTGTCTCTACACTGGTCTCCCCACTACCATCTTAGAATCTTCTTCACACAGAAGCTAGGATGATGACTATAAAACCCAAGTGAGGCCTGTCATTTGCAGCAACACGGATGGACCTAGAGATGATCATACTAAGTGTAGTAAGTCAGACAGAGAAATATAACTGTCCTATGATATCACTTTTATGTGGAATCTAAAAAAAATGACACAAATGAACTTATTTAGGAAACAGACAGACTCACAGACATATAAAACAAACTTATGGTTACCAAAGGGGAAAGGGAGAGGGATAAATTGGGAGTTTAAGATTTGCAGATACTAACTACTGTATAAACAATAAACAACAAGGTCTTACTGTATAGGACATGCAACTATATTCAATTTTTGTACTAACCTATGAGAAAGAATATATATATATACACACACACACATATATATGACTGAATCACTATGCTGTACACCAGAAACTGACACAACATTGTAAATAACTATGCTTCATTAAAAAACAAACAAACCTAAGTTGGACTATGCTACTACTATGCTCAAAACTCTTAAATGGCTTCCCATCTTTCTTAGAATAAGATCCAATATCCTTGCTCTGCCCTACAAAGCCCTACACGATCTACTCCCACCATGTAACTGACCTCACCTCCTACAATTCTCCCTCATTCACACCTCTGCAACTCTAAAGACCAAAAAAACCCACACAACTGATTTATAAGGATGTTTTCCAAAGGCAACTATACAACCCCTCTGTTCTCATCTTACTGGCAAGAATTTAGTCACATGACCACAGATAGCTACAAGAGAGAGAGGAAATACAGTTTTTAATGCTGAGCTGTCTTGGACCCAGCTAAATAGGATGTTTTGATATCAAGGAAAGTGAAGAAAAAGGATATTTGGAGAAATTAATGGACTTGGCTAACATCAGGCTGTCAGCCAATCAGAAACCAGACATGGGCATCATGAGGCAGAGCAGCGTTTTGGTGTTTCCAGGAAAAGTGAGGCTGAGGTTGGAAGTACATGATGTCTGGTCATAACATTTCATCCCACCTCCTGTGGCCCTAACCTTGGATTTGGGGCTGTTTTGTTTGATGCTGTATCCTGAGCCTTCAGGACATAATAAATAGTCCATAAATATTTGTTGAATAAATAGGTAGGTCCTATTATTGTACCCATTATACAGACAAAGAAATTGAGGCTCCCTGGGGGACGTCACCTTGAGATGGGGGCAGTGATTCAAACCCACATGTGTTTGGGTTTGGCTAGAATCCTTGACCACCTCTCTAGTAAAGAAACTGAGAGAAGTAGAGACTTAGCAACCATCACACAGCAAGTAGCCAGCATTGAAACTTATTTCTCCAGAGCTGAGCTATCCCGTCAGTAACTACTGCTACATTATGGCTGGTGGCTAGCATATCGGACAGAGCAGATAAGGAACATTTCAGCCATTGTAGAAACTTCTTCTATTGGACAGCACTGCTCTGGAGACCATTTTCATGAAGTGCGTGGACTCTGGAGCCAGACTGCCTGGTTCACATCCCTCCTTGTCCCTCAGTTTTCTCATGTGTAAAACGGGGATGATGGTGATGATAATAGGAAATAACTGACATGGCATATTATGAGGATGAAATGAATTAATCTGTGTACATAATGGGCCTAGAACAGTGCCTGGCACAGAGTAAGAGCCATTTGAGTTTGTTATTATTTCATTTTTATTTTTTATTTTGGTGGGAGCTAATTAGGTTTATTTATTTATTTAATGGAATTGGGGATTGCACCCAGGACCTCGTGCATGCTAAGAACGCGCTCTACCACTGAGCTCTACCCTCCCCCACTGCTGTTATCATTTAAATGTCTGGTGTCCACACATCCCCCAGGAGACGCAAACCCAGAAGGTGAGAACACAGATCAGGAGGATTTTGCTGGGCTCCAGGAGGGAGTGGGAGTTGAGAGCAGCGAGTGAGGGGTGAGGAGGCCAAGAAGGGTTGTGGGAACCACACAGGCCTGGAGAGTCCTGGCCCTGCCACCTCCCACCCAGGGGCCGGGGAGGTAGGAGATGAAAGTGAGAAGCGGGGCCAGCCCCATGTGTTCCTTATGACCCCAACTTTGCTCCCAGCGCCCAAGACGAATAGGCGTGAAATCCACATCTGGGACCCACCTCCGGCCTGGCCATTCCCTCCCACCGCTGGGCACTGAGCCCAGTCTGTCTTTGCGCCATAATGGCGGCAGCACAGATGGCTTCCAGAGCTCAGAAGAGACCGTGCCCACCTCAGCATTGCTGATGGCTTCCTGGAAGAGCAGAATCCTGAAATGCATACGAGTCTGAGTAGGCATTTGTCCAGCAGAGGAGGGAGAAAGAAAGGCCCAGTTAGAAGCCAGTTTGTGCAAAGCTCCAGAGGCCAGAGGTCCTGGTACGGTAAGAAAAGAGATGAGGCTGGAGATTGGTGGCAGCAGGGGTATGTGGGGCCTCTAAGACCAGGCTGAGGGCCTGCGTTTTTTCCCCAGGGGCACTGAGGAGCCATGAGAGGACTGTGAGCAGGGGAGGGGCAGGGTCAGCCCGTTGTGAGAAACAGATAGTGATATGGATGAGCACAGAGGTGGCTCAGGTCACTGGAAGAGCTCAAAAAAGGCCTTGACCCAGTCTGGAAGTCAGGAAACTTCTTTCAGAGGAAGTGACAGCTGAGATAGGTCTTGAAGGACAGAGGAAGGATTTGATCATGAAAAGAAAAGCTGAGAAGTAGGGACATTGTCCAGGGGTGCTGGGGAGCTATGGGATGGCTGTTACTAAGGGAGACGTAGGTCTCCCAGACTTGTCCTAGAGAGGCTCCCAGTTTGGGAGGGTGGGGTAGAGGAGAAACGTGGGTACAGTCACATCTGGTATACTGTGTAATAACAGGCAGCCCAGGGCCCAGCCTGGGAGGTCAGGGAAGACTTCCTGGAGGAGGTGAGGACTTGCAGGAAATCCAAGTGTCTCCCAGGCAGACAGGAGGGGCCAAAATTGCACGGGAGAAGTACCAGGTGCACTGTCTCATTCAGTCCAGCCAGATTTCTCTCCTGAGGATGCCCCTGTGCTCTATGCTGGGTGATGACCCTGGAGAGGGGTCAGGCCTGGGCCCTCGAGGGAGGCCACACAGGACACAGTCCCTCTCCTAATGAGATCTGTGCTCTAATGGAGATAGCACAGGGCATTGGGAAGGTCCACAGGAGGCACAGATCCAGCTTGAAGGTTAGGGAGGGCTTCCTGGAGGAGGAGAGCCAAAGCACAGGTAGAGCCTGCTCTTCCTACAGGGTCAGTCTGTCTCCTCTCCCTCTGTGTGTCTCTGGTTCCTTCATTGTCTCGCCCTCTAATGACTTCCATGTTTT